CAGCCCTCCCAGCATCTCTGTGCCCTCCTCTGGCCCCGCTCCACCAGGTCCATGTCTCTCCTGTGCTGAGGCCCCCGAGCTGGAGGCAGCACTGCAGGGGGGTCTCCCCAGAGCAGAGCAGAGGGGCAGAATAGAGTACATCGACAGCTCTTCCTTCAGCAAGTCAGGAGAAGAGGAAGATCACATCCCTTGAGATGACTTCCCAGCACAGAGACTCCTTCCCTGATGTCCTCACTCGGAGCTTGCCCCGTTCCCTCTTTCCTCATTGCACCCCCGGATCCCTCAAAGAGCATCCTGCTGATTTGACACTCAACCTAATTACTGCTAATAGGATTAATCACCAAAAGAAGAGATGAGGTGCCGGATGCTGCTGCGTGGTTACGGCTAGCAGGGCTTTGCCGATTATGGGAACTACAGAAGCGCTGGATTCGTGCCATTCAGGTTCTTTGCTGGGAAAGACGACTGCAGATGCTGAAAGGAAAACTGAAGTCTGGAAACATCTCAGCATCTCCTTTTGTTATCCAAACAGCCCAAAATTGGGTTTTCTTACAGCCCTGCTAACTTCTGTGTACATATCTGCATAGCTCCCCGTTGCCCTCAAAACATTCACTGCTGCGCTGCGTATTATATCTCCGTCTCAGCAGACAACTCCTTCCCAAATACTCTACGAAATGATTTCAGCCTGCGTGCGGAGACGGCATTTATCTCCGACTCAAAATGGGCGAGACACAGTCGCTCCCTGAGAACGTGCGCAGGACCAAAACTGGGCTGTGCAACCTCCGCGGGTCACCTGGGATGGAGCTCGCTTTGGGTGGCGAAGCAAAAATAACGGAACCAAAGGCTTTGTCATGGAAACGCCAGCTGTCCTCCTGCCCTCCGACCCCATAGCCATCCCCTCTTTGGTCCCCAAAAGCTGCGGAAACCTCCAGGCAGGGATGCGGGAGGTCAAGGCTGGTTGGACGATGCTTGGAGATGGCTCCGTCTCTCCGTGAACCGTAGGGAGAGCCCAAAGGAACCGCTCCCATGCGGATCCGGATAATAAGATTGTGCTAATCCACGTTCAACAGCAGAGCCTTTCAGGATTTAAAAAGTTTTAAAATGATATTGAAACGTATGTCAAGCTTTAGCATTATTTACTTCTATTAGCGTGTCATCACCGGGCAGATTAAAATCCCACTGCTGATGCAGTGAAAGGACCAAGCAAACAAACCCCTTTGAAATGACAAATTTTAAGGCAAGCGCGTCATTTTTTCCTCCCTAAACCAAACAGTAATTCAGACAAGATTTGTGTTGACAATAAATCGCATGCAAATGAATCCAGCGCTGCAAAACCAGCCGGGTTTGGGGACACCATCCCTCTCGCCGCCGGCGTCGCGGTGTCCCGGGTACCGCAGGACACAGCGTCCCGGTGAAAACCGGGGATTTCTTGGAGGGAATAAAATTACCCCAAGTCTTCAATCAGCCGCCTGCATCCCGCCGCCTTCGCTCGCCTCTGAGTTATGAACCAACTTCCATTCCAGCTCGCCTCTAAATATCCTCTTTGCCTTAATGAAAACAGAAAAAGCTGTCAGGAATATAGATGCATTCAATATCTCCGGCACCAAGGGCACCATGTTTTCCAGAAGTAAAAAGACTTCTAACGTGAGCGCTGATTTTATTGCGTCGCAATAGGAAGGCAGGCATTATTGCAGAGGAGCGTGTTAACAAAATGTATCAAATATGAGGCTAAAAAAAAAATTAAAAAGCCGCTTTTCTCCCCGACTTCGCCGCCTCGTGATGGTAATCACCAGCGAGCCAGGGGAGTTACTGCTTGCGGGTCATTTAAAGTTGGAAAATTGCCTTTTTTTTTGTTGTTCCTGGTGGCGTTCAGTGAAGCAGAGAAACCACCGCTGCCTCAGGAGGTCTCTGGTCTGCCGCTTTCGGAGCTTTTTGCTGGGGGATGTAAACGCACAGGGTTTCCACGGGGGTATAAGATCATCGAGTCGCTGCTCTTCGAGTATGCAAGAGGCAGTTGCGCGCATAAAATAAACCCAAAGCCCTTTGCCTGTCGAGGGAATCAGTAAAGCATGGAGACCCACCAGAAAGTCACAACATGACTTTTTTTTTTTATATATATATATGTGTGTACATATATATAATTTTTGCAATGATACAGTAATATTTCAAAAAATATTTCCAAAAATTTGCACTATTTCAACACTGCAATTTGCCTCGATAAGGCTATTTGTAATTTGGCGGCATCCCAAAGCCGGGGATGCCTTCGATGGAATAAACCACCCTGCAGATGACATTATTGGAGAATTACTGCCTCGCTCTCCGCCCGGACACTGCAGGAAGGAGGAGCGTGCAAAGGCTTGCACGCGCATATCCTTCCTGCGCCCTTCCCTTCGCGCACCCGCGTCGCCTTCCGCTCCGCGGCCACCCCGAGCACAAAATCCAGAAGGGAAACTTTGCAAAATCAACTTTGCGTCACCGTCAGAAGCAACGATAATCACTGTGGCCACGCAGGTATCGGGATTGTTATGTTTTAACCCATTTAAGCGCACGACGTTGCACCAGGACGGAGATATTCTGTTGCTTTGTTGTTGTTGTTGTTGTGTTTTCGGTTTTTTCTTTTTAAAGAAAAAAGTTAAATATCGAAATGCACAGCTAAACGGAATGGGGGGCAGATGGCTGCTGCCACTTCCCACCTCTCCAGCTCCTCCCAGTAGCAGCTCGGTGGCCTTGAGCTGATCCAAACTGGCATTATTGCAGCTGAAGACTTTGATGTCCATCTCTGGGCAGCGCCTCGGGACTCCCCGGGAAAGGTACGGCTGAAGTCTGCCCCAAATTAATCCAATTTTTAGGGTAAGGAACTCCTGCGGCTTCATTTTCACCCAGCCAAAGGGTGAGCGGGACCTCTGCTGTGAGCCAGGACCAGCGTAAATTCTCCCATCCAACCCATCCAAGCAGCCAAAGGGAATTTATTTCCATCAGAGAGGCAAAAAAAAAAAAAAAATTAAAAAAAATCAGCTCTCCAAAGAGAAAATCCTTAGGGATTTTGTCTCGGCCTCCCAGGGGCTGTACGATGCTTAAGAGCCACCTGGGAGGACGGGGAAATAAAACCCTTTCATCACTTGCAGCTTTTCATATCCTCCCACGCCGCTTAATCCAACCCCTCGTTTGCATTCCTCCTGTCCCCAGGAGAGGGACGTCCCTGCTCCAGCAAAACCAGGCGGGGACACACGGGGACACAGATTTTCGTGTTTTATGCCCCAATTATAAATCCTCATTTAATCCCAGGAGGTTCCCACGGATGTCTGCAAGTCCCTCCTACTGGAAGACCC